CGTCACCCGACGTTAATCACATGGGTACGCAATCCTACCACTGGCCTGCCCCTACTTGAACTTGTAAATCCCGCAACAATAGGCACCCCGTCTCGAGTCGGGCACAACCGACCGAACAAACTTTACGACAGACACGCTAGACACCGTGCTGACTGCTCGGACGTCGCCCGTTTCCGTGGATGCCCTGCCCGAGATTCGAGATTGGCAATTAATAGTTGCACCCCGGGCGGATTTACATCGCGCCCGGAGTGAGCCGTTGAAAGACACCAAGAATCTCAAGGCGAGTTCTATTTCATTCGCCAGTTTATCATGTATTCAATAACTATAGGTCTTGGTCAAAACAGGCACTAGACGAGCCTTCAAGTTGGGAGGACCAAGTTACTCAGGGCTTGGCAGCTTCAAGTAACGGCCAGATTACCGCCGATAAAGCCATGCCTGCACCCCCTCCCGCTGAAGCAACGCCTTTGCTGCCTCCAATTCCATCTGGATCCTCAGTTGTCCCACTTCGTACGGCAAGCGGGACGCCTGTGACCCTGGGGACAGACCGCGAGGCTCCAACAAACGTAGCGGCGCATATGGTTTTATTTCAGGGTGAAATTCGAGCTGGTGCTGTTTACCATATTTTCAACAAAAAGTACGGCACCGCTGTGAGGATCCCAGAAGACGCATACCAAGCGGATTTGGTTGGCTACCGGAGAACCAAAAATGTCACACTAGGTTATAAAGTAAGTTTATATATTGTTTTCGGGTTGTTTTCGAGGGTCCGATTGTATTCCCCGACGGGTCACAGTGGAAAATGGAGCCAGACATGCGGAATACGGCGGAATACCGTATTTATAATGTGGACTTCAAGAGGTATGCGAAACTAGGCCATTCATCCCCAGACTCTGTCCAGACAGGCAGACGCGATGGCGATAACAACGACAATGATGGCGGTGGCGGTGACGATGACGATGACGACTGGTGGGTAATTGAACCAGTCTTGGGCAAGGAGAATTGCTTCACGTACGATGCCGCTTTATCGAAAATCCAACTCCAACTAACACACATTACTAACGCCGAACGGCATACCCATAGGATTGCACACTACGTAGACCCAGTATATTGGGGGTTGGTTGACAAGCGGAACCGGACCCCGGTGAGCATAATCCTCACAATGAATGAACGATATGACAAGCCACCTGCTAGATTACGTTGCGGAAGTCACTCAACGATAGTGCAAATCATTGGGAGTTTGAACTGGTGCAAGACTGAACCATTTCAGGCGCCATGGCTTCTGAGCATTGCCAGAGCATCCTTCTGTAGCTGGACCACGTTTGCATCTGTTGTCCGAACCCCTACGAAGCCGTGTTGGGCACGGCGAAGCGAGCAGAAAGGCCAAGTGCGAAAGACGAGAACTGGCTAATTGACTGTTGTATACCAAACAGACAGTGCAGAGCTACGGTGTATTGGATATGCTCACTCATCCCCACGATAATATGTCCTTGTTCCATTAGATATGCGCCTACCCTAGTCCCGTACTTCATGTCTTTTACTTATGTACTTTATGCAGTTGGGAACATGCAAACCGGCCGTGACGCCGGTTGGGTCCGGTTGGCGCCGAGCCTCCAAACCCAAGAGCGTGTACAGGTAGATCAGTACCCCCTCCCCCCGCAGACAGGTGGTCATTGGTATATTGAGATTCGCCATCCGTCCTAGAGTGATTGACGTTGACTCTGGGGGCCTGTGTCCACAGGAAAACTCCTTCGGGACTTGGTTAGAGCGCCGAGTGACCCTAGACAACATCTGATCCATGCGTCCACCTCGGCCAGCGTTTTGATCGAAGGGCACACCACTTCACAAGGATCGTTCGCTATATTAACTCTCGGGTCCCCCGTTCTGCTCGCCTCACAACGCTGCTACCCTGGGCTGCTCGACACTTCAGCATAGCAAGCCAGTTGCCCTGACCAAGATCCTGACAGCCCTCTGCCCAGAACAGGATGGCCAACGTTCAACCTCGCCCTCCCCGGAACATCGTCATTCTCTGCGACGGTACCGGAAGAAATGGTCATCACGACTGGGCCAAGGGAGAATTGATCACAAACATTTGGAGACTTTGTGAATTCTTTCATCAATTTATGAAATAACTTATTTACATGAATGAATCAGACCAAGCGATTGTACCACGGGAGGGTGATATCGTCGAGTACTTTCCCGGGGTGGGTGCCGACAATGCCCAAGTCACGACTATGGATTTCCTGGCGCGGACGATTGGGCACACTGTTGGTTCGTCAGGTTCAAATGTCTATTATTAGATTTCTCTGATTTCCCTAGTTGCCTTAATTCGGAAGATATATTTAACCGTCGTTCACAACTACAAAGACGGTGACAACATAAGGTACATCTGCACAATTCCCAGATGACCTTCTGTTGATCATTTGGAGCAGTCTCTTTGGCTACTCGCGCGGCGCTTTTATCGTGCGCAAGGTCGCCTCGTTGATCGTAAGTCCCCAAACCCCCACTACCAAGACCCCCTAATTCTCTATAAACAGGGCAAGCTGGGCTTGATCGCGGACGAGGTTGAGTTTGATGAATACTGGAATGATTTGCTGGATCCACCTCCCGGGCCTCCGCGTCTCCCACTCAAACCTCATGTCGTGCCAATCTGGTCGGTCTTCGAGCCAATTTGTGACCACCTATCTAACAGTTTCTCCAGCTGCCTCGGGGTTTGGCACACCGTAGGCAAGTCAAACGTGGGGAGTCAGATTTTCTTTCTGATAACTCTGGTTGTAGGGGCCGTGCGATCACAGACACTTCGTGAAAAAACGAACCTCCTTACCCTACCGGATGACGAGTGAGCTCTCTTCCTTTCCAGAGGGTTCGTTATTTTGACCTACGCCGTAGTTTACCCGAGATTGTCCGGTTGGCGTTGCACGCAGTTGGCTACCACGAGAACCGGAAACTCATCGACCTCATCTTGTTCAATGGCAACAATAACGATAAACAGCTTTGTAAACAAGTGAGCATGCATCGCGCATCCTGGGATATGCAAGGCCAACATTTACTCCACAGACACTCTTCCCTGGTTCTCACTCAGATGTTGGAATTGTCGAGCCCGAGAGAAAGATAATTGCAGATGTGACTCTCGACTGGATGCTCGTACGTCCCACCCCACCCGGTGCCTCATAGCTTACCCAACCGTTCCCAGAGAAACATGCCACAGACAATCCAGGTGGTGCTCAGCGAGAAACTCGAATCCGAAGTACCAAGCTGGTACCCAATCAAAAGTGCACTCCACGAAGTGTCTTGGTGGATGCGGGTTGTAGACCAACTCCACCATCGCGAGTACCTCCCAACGATGCCCAGTTTACTCTGGCATCGCACGTTGTTGAGCTTTCCGCCTCCAAACTCTCCAGACCTTCCGAAGCACACCTGGCACTATTCGGAGTATTTCGATTCTGTAGAGGAAGAAGTGGCAAGACCCACTGTTTATATTTCGGGAAAGCCCTGGTTCTTACATATATTCTTTTGCAGAATATCGGCCGACCGGCTGCCAAGCAACTTCCTCCACCCAAACAGCCGCCCCAGTCGGCCGACACCACCCAGAGCGCTGAGCCACAAGTTCCCCAAGAACATCACCCGACGTTAATCACACGGGCACGCAATCCTGCCACTGGTCTGCAGCCACGAGTGCCCCTAATTGATTCGCAAACCTCGCAACAGCAGGCACCTCGTCCCGAGCCGGGCACAACCGACCAAGCAGACTTCATGACAGACACACCAGGCCCCGCATCGATTGCTCAGACGTCGCTCGCCTCCGAGGATATCCCGCCGGAGATTCGAGCTTCGCCATTAATGGGTACACCCCGAGCAGATTGTGGGATTCGAGCAGGTGCCGTTTATCATATCTTCAACAAGAAGTACGGTACTGGGGTGAGGGTCCCAGAAGACGCAGACCAAGCGGATTTGGTTGGCTATCGGAGAACCAACAATGCCGCACTAGGTTATAAAGTAAGCGTATATTCTATTTTGGAGGTTCTCGTTCTATCACCTAACGAGTTGTAGTGGAAAATGGAGCAAGACATACGAAACACAACGGAATACCGTATTTACAACGTGGACTTCAAGAGGTATGCGAAACTAGGCCATTCATCCCCAGACTCTGTCCAGACAGGCAGACGCGATGACGACGACGACGACTGGTGGATAATTGAGCCAGTCCTAGACAAGGAGAATTGCTTCACGTACGATCACTCTTTGTCGAAAAATCGGCTGACACACGTGACTAACGATGTACCTATAGGATTGCACACTACGCAGACCCGGTATATTGGTGGTTGGTTGACAAACGGAATCGGACGCCGGTGAGTATAATATCAGCAATGATTGAATGTTTATGACAAGCCACCTGCTAGATTACGTTGCGGAAGTCATCCAGCGACAGCGCAAACCATTGGGAGTTTGGGCTGGTGCTGGAATGAAGCATTCCAGGTACCATGGCTTCTGGGCATTGTCGGGGCAGCTTCCGTGGCTGGACTACGCTTGCACCTGTTGTCCGAGGCCCTACGAAGCTGTGTTGGGCACGGCGAAGCGAGCAGAAATGCCAAGTGCGAAAGACGGGAGGACCAGTTGGTTAACTGGACACTGCAGAGCTGTGGTGTGTTGGATATGCCCACTCATCCCCCATGATGATATGTTCCTGTTCCGTTACATATGCGCTTACTCTCGTCCTATACTTCATGTCTTTTGTTTATGCATTTTTGTAGTTGAGAACATGCAAACCGCCCCGTGACGTCGGTTGGGTCCGGTTGGCGCCGAGCCTCCAAACCCAAGAGCGTATACAGGTATTTCAGTACCCCCCTGTAGACAGGTGGTGCCAAGCTGGAAACTAGCGCGCTGAGACTCGTCATCCATCCTAGAGTAGTTAACGTTTATTCCGAAATTCGGGTGCAAGACAGAACACGCAGCCGCAGGCGAACTATGCGCTGGAGTGTTGATCGTTCTCCCTTGAGAGACTTCAAGGTTGGCTAGCTCAGTTGGTTAGAGCGTCGAGCTAATAACTCGAAGGCCATGGGTTCGACCCCCATGCTGACCATCTTTTTTCACCCTTTTTCTGACCCTGCTCACTCACCTAACTCAACCACTCAATCTTTTTTCGTGTCCTAGCGCATGGGAGCACCAAAACATCATTGCCAACGACCCCTGAACTGTGAATTCGAACCTCGCGGTGATCACATTTTTGGCTTATTTTGCTGGACGCCATGAACTCATCAAACCCCTCCCAATCCAGTCAATGAGAACACATAGATGCCGTATATTTACGCCACCATAGCCTCGTGTAGCATACAGTGAGCGAATCAAAAAATATCGCCGAATAAACTAGTTACACCATCCCCAAAGGACATAAGATGTTAGATAGATAGCAGTCAAGTGAACGAGGCGCACCAAGGTCATGTCGTAAAAAAGAAACCTGGCGTAAATCAAAACAACGAAGGGCGATGAAGCAAGAAATGGAACAGAACCACATCTATACCTCTTCCCTTGCCTCAACCTGCACACTCAACCCCGCACTCGACCCTAGTCCCCTCATCCTGGATAGATCGAGGCTAGGCGGGGTACTCTTCCCACCCGGTCCCTGCGCATCACTCGCCGCGCGACGTCTCCTTACTCCGACCTCGGATATCACGGCTTTAAGCTCCTGCACGACGTCTCCTCCAGGACCCCAATTCTCTCCGTCGGTGCTCGAGCGGGACGGTTTATGTTCGCGCTTCGCACGAGCAGCAGCGATACGCTCGGCACGTGAGATTGCGCTCCTCGGTCGCCTCCCGCCCATCACTATATCGTCCGTGTCAGCCTCGAAGACTTGTTCGATTCCAGGCGGAGGGAGGTGCTGCGCAGATGTTCCCAGTAGCAGGTACGCAGACGCATCGTCCTGGCGCACGTTTGTGCTTTCTAGAGTCGACTGGAGGAGCGAATCCCGCCCTAATGAATCTCTCCGGAGTATATCCGCGTTAATATGCATCGCGTCGAGCGGGGTGAGTTCCTCTCCCTTTTCGGAGCTTGCGGGGCTCGAGCTCGCATCCAAACCGGGCACGTCGCTATCCGCTTCGCCCTCGTCCTCGACATCCATCCTGGCACGCCGTTGCCGCAGCACGGCTCGTGCGCGCTCGAGTTGTCGCAGCGCTGTCCCGAGCTCGCGCCGCACGGCCTCGATTTGGGCGTCCTCGGCGTCTGCGTCAGGTGCTGACGTGTCGAGGGAAAGGGTGGACAGGATAGAAGCCAAGTCCTTCGCACGCCCCGCGGCACCAACCAACTCTCCCACGTGCATCGCGAACCTCTCCTTTGGCGACGCGGTCGGCGCGAACCCGGCCGACAGGGGAGTCGACACCCCTCCAACGGGCAACCCGCTCTCGCTCCCAAAACTCGAATCCCCCGCCCCGTTTCCTTGCGCACTTTCTACCGCAGCCCCAAGCCGCCCAGCAGCATCCTCCATTCCTGCACTCAACAAACCCATCACGCTCTTCACATCCTCCCAATACTCTCCGTCTCCATCTGCAAACCGGAGCGCCATCAGGTGGGCAGTGGTGTGGCGACGGCTTGCTCGTGCGACACCGAGGGAATGCCGGATCGCCGCGAGCGAGGTCGTTTGAATCTGGTTGTGATGAGACACACGTCGGAGAGAAGACAGCGCCGCAGAACCAAAGGTCGTGTTAGGCGTCATGTATGGCGTCCTGTTCCGTCGTGGTGGCGTCTTTGGAGCGACAGCCTCTGAATCAGACTCAAACTGGGGGAGTGGCGCGATACGTTCGCTATCTTCGCCAATATCAGACACGACCTTGGGTGAACCTGTATCTTCACCCTCGTCCACCGGCAGGGGAACGCCCATTGCGCGATCGGGCGTGGCCAGCTTCGATCTTCGCATGCTTGCACTGGTTCGGCGCCGGCCGAGGCCAAAGTTTCCGTAGTTCCCTCCTGTGCTGAACCCGCCTCCACCTCCAATACCGGGTCCCCATGTGCTTCGTTTGTTCCCAGGCAAGCTCAAGCCGGGAGATGGCGAAGCGTCGGGTCCTCTAGGCCCAGGCCCAATACTCGCGTACCGCGCATGACTGCGAACGCGGACGGGTGGGGGAGATGTGGGCGGAGCGTACATCGCAGTGAGAGGTGCCAGTGCGGCGGGTTGTGTGAGGGGAGCGAATAAGCCGCGTAGGGTATCTGTGGTGTTTGCTGCGGCATTGAGCTCAGAGGAAAGCGCGACACGCAGGGCCGAGGTTGCAGCAGATGGGGCAGGAGGGGAAGAGGAATAGAACAAACTGATTAGGTATAATAAATGAGCCACAAATAAATATCTGATAAGGGCGTCACCAGACTTACGTTCGCTCTTCGGCCTCGAGGAGCCCTATCGCTTCCGATACGACCGAGTCCCATGCACTTGCGGCTTGAACACATCGGTCCAGCGCGGCGAGCATCATCGGGGCCGGATCGTCCTCCCGCTCGCCTAGCCACCCGCTGCTTCTTAATTTTCCGCACGCCGTTACTAAGAATTGACGTGCGTGGTGTTCCGGCGCGACATCCGTGGCATGTGCAAAGGCCGCGATGAGCGCGATTACACAGGCAGTAGTGAGCCCGCTCGTGACGAACGCGGCGAAGACGAGGATGGCTGCGGCGAGGGGCCAAGCGTGGATCGGAGTGACTGGCGATGACAAGTCGGATTCATCGGTGGGGATGGTTATGGAATGATGTGGGATGGTTGAGGTACTCGGTGGCGAGTTTGATGGAGATGTGCTAGCGAGGAGTGGAGAGAGGATGATGGCGTGGGTAAACCGCTCAGCGAACTCGCGGTGAGCGGTTTGGCGAGAGAGGTGCATGATGGTATGGGAGAGTCGCTGGTACATGGCAATAGGGGGGAGGGGGATTATTAAAGAGCAATGATCAGTCGAAGCGTCAAATACGATAAGAACATGTGTGTGGGGCGTGTATGATATATGGGGTGGGACTTACAAGGAGAACGGACACGAGAGGCTCGAACACGTCCTGGATTGTGCTTTCTGTTTCAATTGAAGACTCGGAATCGAATGACAGTGGGATATCGCCTCCTGGCATAGTCATGCTTAATGCCTGTTCACCAGCCTCATCTGGAAGAGCGTAAGCAGATCGAACGTGTGTAGTCGGGGAAAACACTTGCCTTTGAGGTAGTCACCAAGCGGGTGCTGGTCGTACACCACCTGGGCCATGTTATATTAAGAGTACTTTATGGTGTGCGAGAGAGTACCGTCGTCGCTGGCTCAGTACAGCGTACCAGGCAGTGTTGCTGCGGCTGCGGCTCAAGTAGTTTCTCCCGGCACCCGAGGCACAAATAGATAGTCAAGCACTAGAAAATGAGCGTGTGTGTGTGGAGGATAAAAAACAGAGTTTCTGCTGCCTTGAGGGTCGTGGTCGTCGCAGGAACAATACGGACTAACGCGGGCACGTGCCCGGCACATCTCGCCAAGCTTGCTTCATCTGGGTCAGGGACAACCTGAAAGTTTGAAAACACGCATGGTTTAGAAATACACGCATACGCATAGCGTGATATAGTAGGTAGCATCCTGTCGTCATTATTATCAACTCATACTGCATTTCGCTTCAGTACGTGAAGCCGACTCGGGGCGCAAATGTGCTCGACGTTTCTCCGTAACAACCATGTTTGACATGTTCAGTATGTAAGATCTTCCTTGGGTGGTTCGCCGGCTGCCGAGATCCTTGAACCGTGGACAGCGCTTTTTGAAACCTTTGTTGCCCACCTGCAAATTTAGTTCTAGACTCTATTCAGATAGGTGCTGTGGCTTACATACCCCGTTTCTCAACGCCTAAACGCAACCTCTTTCTGGTTGTCAATCCCAATAGCCTCCTCCCTCAACGCCTCGCACAACGTCTCCAACTGAAGCTTTGTGCTTTGATCGCCAGAGCTCGCCCGCACACGGTCCTCGTACTCTTCCAAAAAAGAGCTGCACACCGCGTGCATGTGCGGAGTCTCGGTGGATTGTTGAGAGATGATTTGCAAGCGGAGTGGAGTAGAGAGTCGGTCTTGCGAGTTCATAGCAAGGGAAGGCAGTGGTCGCTGAGAATCAAATTGACAAGACAAAGGTATGGGTATGACATAAGCAGACAAGATTCAGGTGGCTATCCGCGATTGTGTGGCTACTGCACCCACGATCTGCCCTCAGTTCCCTCCACTTACAATTAGAATCAGATGCACTGTTCCGGGGTCCTTCGTGGCTATCATGGTTCGCATATTGCTCTGTTAGCCGGGATCACGTTCCTGAAGACCTTCCTCGCCGCAGCCTGCCCCGACCTAGACCTTCTACCACCAACTCCCCCGGCGGGAATACAGCTCATGACACCAGAGATCTCGCCAAACTTCGACCGTGATATCCTTTCGTGCCTCGTACCTGGTGGCTTTTCGACGATTCCCAAGCGTAAACGCTACTTACCCGTCCTGGGCGCCACTCGGTTGGCTCCCTATGGACCAATCCGCCACGAACGCCGAAGGAATCTCGTGCAAGACCACTGACCTACTACTCGCATAATCAGGTACTCCGAGTCTCCCTCGGTCACTTCCCGCGCCTCGACCCTACATAGTCACGGATCCACCGGGCTGAAATCAACGAGCTGCCAGTGTACATTGGCCATCACTTCGTCTACGCTAGCCGGGACACCAGCCCCCCTCGATATTTTCACCTGGCCTTCGCTAGCGGAAGGACCGCATGACAGGCAGCGGAGTGTATGCTTGATCTGGGATGCGACGGGCGGTATCGGGGAAGGTGCATGCGGGCGGTATTGAGAGTGGAATATTGGCGCTCTGGATGGTCAGGGGGAGGTTTTGGGTGAGCGGTATTGGTATTACCTGTGTGGAGGTATAAAAGCGACGAAAAGGCGAGCTGGTGATGGCAAGGCAGCGGCGAGTTCGGCACTCCTACCTCCCCTTCCTTTCCACTAGTTCCCATTTCAGCCATGCGATTCACGCTATTTCGATCTCTCATCACCGTTACAGCCCTTGCGCAAAGCTGCTTCGCCACCCTTCGTCAGCATACCTTGGTCGTACGTTCTGCTCTCCGG